CCATGGAATAAATATGCAAAAGGATAATAGGTAATAAACATTATTATATAATATCGTTATATTTGTAATCAATTAAAATATCAGTTTTATTTTTTTTTTATAAATACAATTAATTTTTATAGTATCAATTTGTAATATACAGGCGCGTACGCAGTGTGGGGGGAGTCAGGGGGACAAATCCCCCCCCCCCCCCTCATCAAAGCCAAAAAATGCAGATGCTGGATTATATTTTTCAAAAATATTATTGTTAAAATTAATTTACATTTGTTAATATTTATTCCTATCTCATATATATATATTTAATTATATTTATTTATCACATTCATCTACTAAGTTATTTTATCAATTAATTTCGATTTCAAGTTTTTCTTGGCGTAATTTACCTATTATTTTCAAATTTTAGTGACGTATTATTTATCTAAATTTCTAGACAAATAATAATTATCTCTGAAACTCCATGTCCATCAGGGAGAAAGAAATTGCAAGCTTGTTCAACGAGATCGAGTCTCCACCAGTAACAGCTTTTATGGAGTTAGAAGAACCGATTATTAATGCTATTACTGAAATATAATGGCTTGAAAAAAATATTTCCTCAGTAGCAAGAAAATTATTGGATTCAATACCTATTCCAAATTTTTTTTCTCATTGGAATGTATTATTTAATTATACAAATATTTTATGTAATACTTTTCAAAAACATGACATTGACTAGATTAAGAAGATGAGAATAGCGGAGAGCATTTTATTAGAACTCAAAGAAATTGGAGCTAATGTTGATGAAGAATTTTATATTTTATATGTTATTGTTGAGTCAAAAGCAGAGCTATACGTGTTTAATATTTGTCCCCCTCGACTTTCAGCAAGCAAGCTCTTATCAGTAGAAGAGTATTAAAAAAACAAATGTCCCCTCTCTTAGATAAATTTATAACCCAAATAAATGAATGGTTTAATTCATCATGCAACACTTACAAATCCGCAGATATTACTTCCACAAAAGCCTTTCCATCCTTTTTCAGATGGTGATACAAAAATAATATTTGTTGGATTTTTATCATGAAGATGTTAAAGTATCTTATGATGCCTTATTAGCTGAATATGTTTATAAGATTAACAATGGTTGATATAGCCCCAAAAAATGCTATGGATGCGTTGCATTATTTCAAACACATTTTAATTATATTCCCAATGTATTAAAATGGTTATATATATATATTAGCAACTGTTCCCATTAGTAAACTAATGAGAGAACATTCTCTTTTTTAAAGAATAACAGAGCCATGCAGAGGTACCATTTGCAGGGCACGGTTCAGATTTTTTTTTAAAATTTTTTTCGGCCCGGGTTTTTTTTTAAAAAAATTTTCAGGCCCGGTCCGAATTTTTTTTAAATAAATTATATTTATTTTTGATTTTTATAGCTAATAATGGAGATTTCAAATATTTGGTTTTAAAATATACAGTTCGGCCCGGATATTTTTTTAAAAATTATTTTCAGGCCCAACCCGGGTTTTTTTTTTAAAAAAAATTTGAGCCCGGCCCGGGTATGTTTAAAAAAATTAAAATACGGTCCGGCTCTGGGCCTGCAAGTCTCTGAAAAACATACCTATAAAATACAACTTCTGAAAGTTAATTGAATGATTTGTATATTTTGAATATTCATAGGCATTTAACGCCAAGCAAGGATAGATAATTGAAAAATTAGCTCAAAACATACAAAATACAATTATTCCTAAGAAACTTTTTGTGTATTAATTTATATTTCCAACATTTAAATTTTTTATACTTTATACATTTTAAAGGCTCATAAAATTCAAATTTCGGTCATTTAAGTGAATCATATCGTTATTATATTCACTTTATATTTTATAATTCACATTTATTTTATAGTTTTTCAATGCTGGTTTATATATATAATCTTTTTATAATTCACATTAATTTAAAATTGTGTATTAGAAAAGTTATTAGTCCTAAATGGTAATATACTAAATATCTGTTTAGAATAAAAAAAAAATATGTAATATGTAGTGTTGTTAAACGGCTTGTTTTGAGCCGATTTTTAAAAACAGCTAACACAGTATTTTATTCAGAAAAATATTACGCAAGCCTGAAAATTTTGAGAAGGAGCAAAGGTCTAGACATATAGTATCGAAATTTCAAGGCTTAGTCAATATTTTTCTGGCGAAAATATTGAGTTAGCCGTTTTTAAAAATCGGCTCAAAACGAGCCGTTTAACAACATTAGCTAATATGCTTGCTTATTAAATGATAATACTCGCCAAAAAATATGATAAATACCTAATAGGTGAATTTTTTGTATATACCAGGTCGAATATAATTTTAAAAAATTCCAAGCAGGGCCTAAAAATTTTTTTTTTTAATCCGGGCCAGGTCCAAAAAAATTTTTTTTTAAATATCCGCAGGGCTTAAAATTTTTAAACCCAGGCCGGGCCTTAAAAAAATTTGAAAAAAAATCCGGGTCGGGCCGTGAAAATGGTACCTCTGCAGGTCTCTGATATTTTTAAATAAATCAGACCCTGTTAACAAGGTAATCTATATTGCCAAATTAATGATTTATAAACCCACTGCATTGGCAACAACACTCTATAAAGCATTACAAATTATTTACATATAAAATCTTCTGCTTTTTAATTTTTCTTTGCAAACATAAAATCATTTGCTTTTTAATTTTTTCCTTTCAACCATAATAAAATAAATCTTAAAATGCCTCTTAAAGACAAAAAAAATACTACTTCCTTGACACACTATGGAACTCAAACATTATTTCAAAATTCATATTTTTCAAAATCTTTATAATATCACCTCTAACGTCTGATATTGAAACCTGGGGAAATAACAAATCAAATCTAAATTAACTCAAGTTTTTATTTTTATTAATAAATGTCTTAGAAATATCTAAACATTAAATATCCTATTATAATATCTAACATAAATCTTTGGCAACTATATCATATACTTCCATTAAACATATTATTAAATTATAGAAAAATACAACTATTATATCACACCTTAAGATATAATTTTTTTATTATTTAAAAATATTTTCCAGATTAAAAACTATATTTTTATTCCCCTTTCCCTCTTTTTTTCCAAAAATTAGATTGTACAATGAAGTATTTCTATAAAGATTTTATACATATTGGCCATCTTTAAAACTGGCTAGGACCAGTTTCAAGTGAATAAATTATAACGTGTTTTTATAAATTATAATGTCTTGTAAAAAAAGTAAAGAACAATGATAGACACAAAAACAAATGGAATTAATAAATGACAAACAATGAAGGAGGGAGGGGGGAGGGGCTTTGAAATAAATACTATTTATACATATTGGCCATCCTTGAAATTGGTTTGGTCTAGTTTTAAGTGAAGAAAATGAATATATCATAACAAGGTATTGTATAGTCGTATAGAAATAAAAATGTTCAAAAACACAACATTATTTTATTGCGTCTTTTATTTATATTTAAAAGAAAATAAAAAAGTTTATTTTTAATTGCATTAAAAAAATATGTTTTAATTTGTAGACTCTGATTTAAATCTTTCTTCAGACTCGCTTTTCTATATGACAGTCTAAATAATGATTTTGATGAGGTATATTTATTAAAAAGAAATTATATTGATTAAATATACGAGATAGAAATACTATTGATTTTATTTTTTTAAATGTCTAAACCCAAATCCGGTTTAATCCCACCAAGGAATTAGAAGATGAAACAACTTTTCGATTAGATAGTCTCCATTATTAAATCCAACTTTACAGATACGCCAAAAAAACTAGGAGAAAATGCAAACTTTGAGGTACATTACAAGGTTAGTACCGCAACAAGTATACTACGCTTCAATAATATATTTTTAATTATAGCTAATTTAAAAAACCATATAAGAAAAGTGCATCCCAAAGTATTAGAAAGTGAAAATCTAAAGATGGTAGCAGAAACCTTGTATGGTGCAAGAAAACTGACAAATAATAAAAATACCCATTTAAATAAACGAATTCTTAGATGTTTTATAAAAAATAACATGGTGTTTCATATATTCGATAGTGAAACCTTTGGAGATATATTTAAATATGTTAACATAAACATTAAAGTATGGTGTCGACAGACATCCTCTAAACATTTATCTAATATTTATAATTTGGCTAAAAAACAAATTATCTTAAACTTAAATAATATAAAAAACCAATTGTCGATTATCATCTATGTTGAATATGACATATTATATTTATATTTTTTGAAAGTTTTTATATTATATGATATTCAAAATATCTTTTACAAATTGTCTTTTAAAAATTGTCTTTAACAAACCTTATTTTTATTTTGTGAATAGTTAAAAAAACTCATTATTGAAAATGTATATAAAGTGTAATATATTTTTGTAAAAAACAGTCATATAAATTTAAAATGTTAAATTAAATAAAATAAATATTTTCCCTAATAATCCACCTGCCTTCCTAGAAATATCATGGTGGCAGAGAAGTGAAACGCTACAAATTATACTGAAACATGGTGAAGCTAGACGAAAGAGTATTATGGAAAATGATTTTAATATTATTCTAAAAACACGTAAGAGATGATTAAAATATAAAATTGAATAAAAATATAATAAAATTTTAATGATGAAATATTTAAAACAAGACAATAATGATAAAATAAAATTCATAGATTAATTAGAAGATTATTTAGTATAAAAATTTAAGGATGATGAAATATGATGAGCACGATAAAGGGATGAAGTCGCACGTACACAGATATCAGTGGAAACCGAGATACGATAATTATGAAGATTCGAGATATACAAATAATTATGAACCAAGATATCGGAATAATTATAATCCTAGAGTTAATAGTGGGTATAATGGACCGAGACCTTATAATAATTTTACAAGATTTAACAATAAAAATAATTATAACTACGATAACTATAGATATAATAATAATGAAAATTACAAATATAATGATAATTACAAATATAATGATAATTACAAATATAATGAAAATAATTATAGATATTATAGACATCAGAACGAATCGAGATACATACCTAGATACAATGATAATCAGAACAATAATCAGTCATACAAGAACAGATTTGACGTAAATAGAATGGATGATGATGACAAGGAAAATGATGATTACAGAGTTACAATATACCTTAACGATATACCGGTAGACATGCAGATCAACACCGGGTCACAATTTTCGATATTGCCGATTAATATTGCTAGAAAGATAGGAATCAAAGTCTTAAATAAATCGGATACGAAATTGACTGGCTATGATGGGGGAAGAATAGAGGTGCTAGGAATCGTTAAAATAAAAGTGAGATATGAAGACAAAACTCAAAACTTAGATGCTTTTATAGTCCAAAATGACAAAATTGCAATTCTGGGAAGGACGTGGATAAAAGTTTTTGGGAACATACTTAATAAAATTGTAAATGTAATCGAGGATAATGGAAAAGTAGATAGTAAAAATTATGAAGGTACATATTACAATAAAAAGCATGAAAATTATAATTATAAATTTCATAATAATAAAAACTTGAATAAAATTGAATTGTGTAAATTAAATGTTAAAAAAGAAATAAATTCTTATAAATTAGAAGAAATAAATCATTTGATAACAATTGAAGAAATAATAGTTATTAAAAACAATAATGAAATAAAAATTGAAGAAAATAATAAAATAAAAAATTTTATAATTAATAAAAAATTTAAAAAAACTTTGAAAATGAAAATTAAAACAAAGATGATTAAATATCATAATATTGAAAGAGAGATTAGGAGTACGAAATGGAGATCGTATGTTGTAGGTGGAAGGAGAAGGAGAAATTTTTTTATAAGTTGAAGAGAAATTATGATATAAAAAAAGTGTATAAATTGAAAAATAAAGGAGTAAAATTTAAAAATAAAAATAATTTAATAATAAATAAAAAAAGTATAAACAATTCCAAATATTCTATTATTCTATATTCCATGATTCTTATTCTTATGATAAATTATTTATTCCATTATCATTTCAATTAATCCAAAATTATTTTATTTGAGATCATAATATATATTTACAAACATTGATAAAAATGATAATAAATAACGAGATGAACAAGCTAATGGGAGGATGATATTCAAAAAAAATGATTATACGATAAAATTTTACTACAAACAAATAAAAAAAAATTTTAGAGGAGGAAGAAGTGAACAAGTTCAAGTTCAAAATTCGAAAATTCAAAGTCAAGTTCAAAATTCGAATATTCAAAGTCAAGTTCAAAAGCGAGAATATGACCTACGACATAGAAAATGATTGTTATAAATAAATAAAATTTTGTAAAAAAAAATATTTATATAAAATTTTGAAAGAGAAATGGGATGATCAATACAAACAGCAAATCAACAGCAATGTTCAACCAACGACGTTTCAACAATGATGCTCAACCAACGATGTTTCATGATGTTCGATAATCGATTCAACTAACGATAATCAGTTGATCAAACAAACAATCAAAGATATATGACAAATGATTAATGGAGCTATGACAAATGGAGGAAGAGTTCACTTAGAAAAAGGGGGAGATGTTGAATATGACATATTATATTTATATTTTTTGAAGGTTTTTATATTATATGATATTCAAAATATCTTTTACAAATTGTCTTTTAAAAATTGTCTTTAACAAACCTTATTTTTATTTTGTGAATAGTTAAAAAAACTCATTATTGAAAATGTATAAGTGTAATATATTTTTGTAAAAAACAGTCATATAAATTTAAAATGTTAAATTAAATAAAATAAATATTTTCCCTAATAATCCACCTGCCTTCCTAGAAATATCAATCTATATCTGGACGGAGTTAAATTTATTATCTTATCTCGCAACAACTGTTCATTACATAGATAATAAATGGGCCATGATAAGTTTTTTATTGGACCTGATCGAATTCCCTTACACACACACGGGTGAGATTCTTAGTGAAATTTTAATAACCTCTCTTAAATAATTAATAGAAGCCAAAATAATGATAACGCCTCTAACATAATATTAGCTGCCGAATTCTTGAAAGAACATTTTATTACAAAATATAAAAATTTTTTTTATAGCAATAGGTGCTTAGCACATATAATTAATTTGGTGAGGAAAGCTTTGGATTCATTTTAATCAAAATTAGAAAAAAATGATATATAAAAAAGCTACATAGAAGTTCTAAACTAATGCAAGAATACATGCTTATATGTGGTGCAACTAGAATTCCAATAAGCGTCGCAAAGAGGTGGAATAGTAAATATTTAATGATATTTGCTATTATCAAGGTAATAAATATTAAAGCATATTCTTTTGTTGATTTCATAATTTGGATTTTTTTTAATTTCTAGAATATAGAGGCCATAAACATATTATGAAGAAAATGTTTAGTCGAATTTATTATAAACAAGAAGATTTAAAATTCTTAAAGGAACTAGAGGCGTTCTTACATCCTATTTACAAGATAACTTGTGATATTAGCTCGGAATCTCTTATAACTATAGGATTAGCTGTATTGTACATTGAAAGTATTTCCAAAACTTTAGAGCGTTGATATCCATTGTAAGTGATACCATTGTTAGCAACGAGTGACATGTTGGACAAATATAAAATATATGCAGGTTTTAAATTTTTATTCTACTTTTCATATTAATCTTAATAACTATTTTGAATTCATTTTTATATTTATGTATTATATTACACAGATCACTTGAATACATTCTCAAACTATGTTGTAGTTTCTTGAGCCCAGGTATCAAAAAAAATATATTATATACCCTCTTTTGTTAATCTATCGACATCTTATTACGAATTAAAATAATTATATAATGAATACAATAATACTATTGATAAAACAGGAATATTTGGTGGGAGGAAAATCAATTTCAACCTTTTGTCTCTATTTTAAATGAATTAAAAAAGCAATGATAGATATATTATGGTGTATTCGATACTCCTAAACCCGCTGAAGAAGAAATAGAAGAGTATAGAGGAGAACCGGTTGCTATAACAACAAACGTCTTAGTTTGGTGGAGTCACAATGCAAATCGTTTTCCGATTTTGGCAACGATAGCAAAGGATTTCTTGTCCCAACAGACAACATCAGTGGCAAGTGAAAGAGTTTTTCCACGTACTGTCGACCCTGGCAAAAAAAATCACACATCTTCACGGACATTTAGGGAATGTGATTCCCTTAATTCTTGGGACAATAATATTCTAACATTAACGGATAATTTTTGGATATAATTTTATTCGTTTTTATAGAATATTTATTATCGCTATTATATCATACAATTTTATATTACGCTTATAATGTTGAAATAAAAATAATATTTATACTCTTGTTTTTTTTAAATTTTAGCGTTATAATATATATCTGGATATATATATGGGAAGGGGGGATGGAAATAAATATAGTTTTTAATCTGGAAAAATAATTTTAAATAAAAAAAAGGATTGGGAAAAATTGGATATTAATAGTAGAAATATTAAAAATATAAATAATATATTTTAAAAAAATCATACCCAGGCCAGAATTATTTTTTTTAAAAAAATCCTTTTTTTATATATAATATTATAAATAATTGTATTTTAATTTGTGATCTTGCTAAACGGCTCGATTGAGCCAATTTTTAAAAACGGCTAACTGAACATTTTATCTAGAAAGCTATTATGCAAGCCTTAAGATTGTGGTCATAGATGGCACGAAGGTTTGGATATTTATCAGCGAAATGTCGAGGTTTAGATAATATTATTAATTGCATGGTAATATTCATAAAATAATACACATAAGTCATTTCGAATTTAAAAATATTTAAATTGACGAACAAGGTGGTTAAATCTTTTTAATATTTTCATCGTGGAGTAAATAATAATAGCAGGCCGATTCAAAATAAACTTTAGCCGACTCATCGAGCCCACCCATGCTGCTCATTTAGCCGCTCAATTTGAAATGAGTTTTGCGATTCAAAACTTGACTAGAATTTAGGCTAAGTCGACTCAACTTAGCGATTAACAACACTATTTTATTATCATCATATTTTCATGGAATAAAGGCTTCCGCATCCCAGGCATCGTGCATAAATAGATCCCTGTGGATCTCCTTAAATATGTTTGGATGTACTGATTTCAGATGTTTTTTCAAATTCGCTAAATAGAAAAAATATTATTCGCACAAATTGAACTTTGCAACGTAGCCTTATAAAACGGAAACAAATTTTAAATGCATTCTTTCAAATTGAGAACATTTTTCATTTTAAATTATTTTTTAAAATACAAACTTGCTTGCCGTTTTTCAAAACTTTTTAAATTTTGAAGTGATAAAATTCCTCTAAATTGTAAGAATAATTATTATCAAATGATATAATAATAGATTTAGGTTATGGAACGATGAAATAAACAAAAGGTTTACAGAAATCCTGGACTACCATAAAAAAAAGTTTCATTGTTATGGAACATTTATCAGTTATTGGTTCCAGGTATAAATATATAAGAATATTAAATATAATAATATAATTAGATTAGCATTGTAATTCCCTGGTTTTGATAACAGTCCTCTTTATCTCAAGAAAAATTGAGAAACTTCAAGGATCAGCTGAAGGAGAAAATAGGAAATCCTACTTAATTAAATATTCATGTTATTTATTTTATTGGTAAGTTGATAATAACTACTTGGAAAATAAAGAGTAGGGCTGTGTCAATCCTCAAATTCTGTTCTGATATTATTATAAAGCCTATACAATACTGATCCAAAATTAATATTGATTTTATTTACCATCTATATTTGAATAAATCCCACAAAATATTTTACTATTCATAAAAAATTATAAGTGTATTTTGTTTCTTTATTCTCAAAAAGTTAATTTCCTCATTTAAAAATTGATAAATGTTAATTTTCATGTGGAACTCTCAACAACAACAAAAACCTAAAGTACTGAATGTTAATTGGTTGTTAAATTTTGGAAGAAAAGCCATCTGGGTTGCAGTAAAGCTAATTTTTATCTATAATTTATTTATATTTTATTTAGACTTTTTATGGATAGACTTGTATAGTTTAGACAACCAAGTACTGTTTAAAACTGAGGTTTTAAAATTTCTACACTATCTAAGACAAATGGTACCTTACCGACACCTACAAATCAATCTGTATTGACATGTTATATAGCATTATATAAATTATTTATTTATTATAAAAATATATTAAGTATTTTATATTAATTTTTATATTTACATTATATTCTTTTAATAAAATTTTTATATATTTATATTTGTCTCTATTTTCATATTTCAATTTAATTTTTCTTAACATTCAAATTATATTAGTGTCCAAATTAACATTTAGTAGAAATTAAGGGATATGTCAATTTAATTTTTCTTAATATTCAATTAATTTAGTTATATCATTTAATTACAAATTGGCTGGGAAGTTGAAGGGGGTTGGGTTGTTCCCAATTGGAATTTGTGGCTATAGAAAAATCATGGTGAGGGAGCTTAAATTTTATTAACCCTTTTCGCAATACAACCCTAAGTAGAATAAATGAAAATATTCATCGAATTTTTTTTATATTTAATATTTAGAATTTTTAGAATTTAAAAAAACAACTTTAAAAAAAACAAATCTTTGGATATAGGGCTAAAAATAGGTTGTCTACATTACTTTTTAAAGAAGGGGTTTTATTTTGTCTTACTCTCCAGAAATAGTATCGTCGTTACTTTAACATTTTTTTTAAAGGTAACGTTGGAAACACTTTAACGAAATTGTTATTATGAAAATACAAATTGTCCCTTCACCAATCGATTCATATTTGTATTATTACGTGTTGTGTTTTAACTAGTTTATAATTTATATTATGCTTTGTTTGTACGATATTCGCTTATAGTGATGTGTTTTTCTTATTACCATTTATATTTTTTTTCTTTGTTTGTACAATATTCGTTTATAAGTGATGTGTTTTTCTTATACTACCATTTATATTTTTCTTTGTTCACTTATACCGAGCCTGTTTTGATTTCATCCTCAAAACTGGTTCTAGCCAGTTTTCGAGATGGACATCGACATGAAAATAATATTTGTTTATTATTGTTTGACTGAAAAAGGGGACTATATAAAGATCTCGGAAAATGAATTGCGATCATTAAATATTTTATTTTGTTTTACTGCTTATGATATTTTATGAAATTGATGTTTTACTGATTGATTACCTATTAAAATAAATTCGTGTTTCATTAATATATGGTCTTAGTTCTTGTGATTCCATGATAAAAATGATATCCAAATCCGGTCCCTCGGTCCCTATTATCGACCATCCCGGACCCCCGAACTAATTTCTTCCCCTCTCCGACGGTGGGACCCGTCTGTCGAACCACAAAATTACGCAAATCTAATTCATATTTGTAATATTTCGCAAATCCAATTCATACAAATAAATATCTATATTATAATTTTCTGATGTCCTCACTACGTCATGTCATCGGTACGTATTTATTTATTTTTTGATTTATTTTTTGTTTATTTTTTTTTGTTTATTTTTTTTGTTTATTTTTTTTTGTAATATCTTTAGAATAACATCCACCATCTACAGCCAAGAGACGCAAATAAAAATGAAAAATGTAGTAATATTGGAAGAAATTATCAAACCAGATCATTAATGTTTATAAAATATTCATATGGTCAGAAAGATCAATAATTACAGAATCAGGCAAAAATTTTTATTTAACTATTTTTTAATTTACAGATTTCCTATTAACCTTACAATTCCTACCACTATTACTTTTTTCTCACATCCTCCAACCACAAAAAAATTAATTTAATAATCTGTTTTCTGCAATTAACAATCCAGAAGATCAAATAAATATATTTATCGATCATTGTAGGAACACTTTCAAATGTAAAATATCCCTCACTAAATCTTTAACTTCTCAACAACTAAACACACATACTCCTTTTCACTTAAAACGTGATGATATCATAAAAGCTATAAACTGCCTCAATCCAAATTACAACATCAAAATTCTATTTCCAGTTTTAAAAATATTTGGTTAACAGTAAACGTACCTCCTGAAATTTGCAAATCAACCATCATTAATTTACCTAAAATACCTTCCCCCTAAATCACCAAATGATTATAGAGATATAACACTTTCATCATTAACTTCCCCAGACCAAAGGCAGGGTTTTGACAATTAATTATAAATTTAACTATCTCAGCTTGAAAAATATTTCAAAATTATTATGAGTTTGGCTGGGCTTGGAAAATATTCCTCAAAAATGATAGAGGATTGGACCTGGCTTGGGAAAAATTTTTCAAAATTATTATGGGTTCGACCAGGTTTGAGAAAAAATTTCGAAATTATAATGGGTTGGGCTGGGTTTGGGAAAAATCAAAATTGTTAAGGTCTTTGACGCTTGGAAATTTTCTAATATATAATATGGGCCAGATATTGACCTAAAAAAAATTTTGCAGGCCTGGACTAGGCCTGATCAAAAAAAGAACCATGAAGATCTCTGATTAATACATTTTTTTTTAAAATTTTATTTTTGAACTATCAATATTATGGTCTTGAACCGGGCTTGGGGAAATTTTTTCAAAATTATTGTGGGCTTTGACCTGGCTTGGGATTTTTTAATATTAAATATTAGCCATTAGGTAATCAATAATATTTTAACAAAGAATTTTGATATGGGTTTCAAGTAAAAGCTAATTTAAATATATTTTTAATCAAAAATAGTACTCACTTAGTATTAATTGGTTGATCTTGGCCTTAGGAGGGGGGGGGGTGATAAAAAGTATAAAAATTGGATATGGTTTATAAATAAAAGGTAACATCCAATGTAAGAGAACGAATAAAATTATCATTCCCCGTCATTTTTGACGGGTTTTCTACTAGTTTCATTGAAATAGTGTATAATTTTTTTATTTTAAAGAATAATTTTTTTTTTATAATAGTAAATTTTTTATTTTTAAAAAGTGATTTAATTTAAAAAATTAAATACAAAAATCAAGATAACACTATAAAAATATATTTAAAAAACAAATTTTTTTTTAAGCAAGATTGTTACTTTAAGTGCTGCAGTGAACACCCATTCAATAGGAGCATAGGATGGAAGTGGTGTATTATATTTTGGCATGGACTTAATTATGTCATAACTGTCACTACTCTTTTTTTTTAATGTTTGATATGTGATTGCCTTTGATACATTACTTTCATCAACCCTTTTACATTATTTTCGAATAAAATGCGCGAATTTTCTATGGATCCCCCGTTGAATGGTTTATCGGTAATTTAATTCAATTTTTTAAAAAATAATCGTTTATAGGCCAAGGTAAAAAAAGTATCTATAAGTGGTATCAAATACACTAAGTCTGACGTATTGAACAAAATAATTAGCAATTTATTTATTGTTAATAATTTTAGCGAGGTAAATATTTTATGTAAAGTATTTAATCTAACATTTGCATAGCTTATATGCAAGAGTTTAGAAACAAGAGAGAATTTGATTAAATTTGGTGTTTTTAACAGTGTTGATATCAAATTTGCCAATGTTAATGGTATATTTAGATAATAATTAATAAATTAAATAAAATGTATTACATGACAAAATGCTTAAAAATACAATAGACAGGTTCTTTATAAAAATAAATATATTTAACTTTTATCTTTGTCCCTTATATTTGTTCATTTCTTGCCTATAAATAAAAATTCATCATTAAAAATAATTGACTTTCAAATTTTAAACAGTTAGGACTGTTGATTGACAATTCTATATATCATGATGATATACTATAACCTCTAGAAAATGTAAGGACAATTAAGTAATAATTTATTTATAATATTCAAATTTAATCTGATGACATATCAAAGCCTTATAGAAGAATTTTAGATCTAAACCTGGTTTTCTGGGAATTTTTTTCTGGCCTTTGTGATTTATTTTTTAAAGTTTCATGGCCCAGCATATTTCTAATTTGTAGATTGCTTCAAAGGCAAATCAAAAATATCAGTAATAAATAATTAATAAGTACTCCATTATTGTATGTTTTTCCAATTGATTAATTACACATTTTAAATTTAACTTTAAAAATTAGTCCAGTCTTGGTTTAAAAAAAATATTTTTAGACCCTACCCAAATTTATTTTTTTTTAAAAAATTTCATTACCCCCATAGGATTTGGATGATACTTTTTATAAATTGTAGACTGTTCCCATTTAAATTTAATGGAAAAATTTAAAAGAAAGATCTTCTTTTTTTTATAGTGATTTCCTGGTTTACCCAGGTAGGCTAATTTTTCCTCTGATTTTTCTTTAGTCTCATCATGGTGGAGGAGTGGCAATGTCTTATGGCAGCTAATGGAGGTCTAAAAGGTCTTCTGGTCTGGGTCTAGAATGTGATCACAGTCTCCTCGATGGGGTTGGTTGATATCAAGAAGGGCATCCAATTGTAAAAACCTTGCTACTAAATTCCCTAATCATTACAGCAAAAGACAGAGATCATTTAATATAATTTTATAATTAAAACACTTTAAACATGGTCTTCAAGACCCTCTGGAAAATTAAGGGTTGAATAACTTATTAAATTCCTACTTTTATATAAATAATTTATTCATAAATTTTACAAGGTTTTTCTATAATTAAAATTTTACTAGTTGAACTGCCTCCTTTAAAGGACAAGGTAGGTAAAATCCCTTCCATTACGATCCTGACATCTGATTTATAATATTTATACATAGATTTTATCTAATATTTTGCTCAAAGAAACCATTTTATCTTTAATTTATTAAATTAGCTAAATTTACTTGATTACCACTTCCCTGCAGAAATTTAGTTATATCCTAAGCTTCTTCATATGATTTAGTGTTGCTAAATGGCAAGATTTTTAAAAATGGTTAACCCAATATTTTAGCCAAAAATATTACGCAAGGCTGAGAATTTTGCTTATTGATAGCATAATGGTTTGAACATCTATTAACAAAATCTCAAAGCTTTCATAATTTTTTTTGTTAAAATAATGGATAATCCTTTTAAAAAAATTGGGCCCTTTAGCAACACAAATATTATTTATGAGACCTTGGTGAGGATGTAATAAATTGATAGCATACTGGGCACTTTTATTGAGATAAAAATTTAGTATAAATCTATTAAATATCTAAACAATAATGTTATATGTTATAATATTTGGAATAACTATATTAAGAAGATTTTTTTTTAATTCTCCTTCTCCTCAGAGCATTAGATTCTCTCAAGCTTGAATCTGATTGTCAACGTTATATAATCAGTATTACTATTGTCTTGATCCATAACTTGAAGAGAACTTGCTGTATTGATATCAGGTACATACTTACTTCAATTAGGAAGGGATATATATTTTTTATTCATTATTTTTGTAATTGATATTTTCTTCCTGATTTATCATCATTGACCATTTTTCTGGATGATTTTTTTTAAACTTTTTTGACCTTGTTTTTGTAGAGTATCATATGACGATTACATTGATGTATTAAATGATCATCAGCATTACATCTAAAACATCGTTTTTGTTTTGTATCTCAGGGACATAGCTTGCTTTAGTTACCAACTGTGAAGAATATTGAGAATCAAGGATCATTACATTCATAGATTATACCTAACGAATTATTTGTTATTCGATATTTGATTCGTATTTTACGAATACGAATTATTCGATTCGAAAATACGAATCGAATTCGAATAAGGAAATATATTATTCGTTGAATAATTTTTTCCCTATTATTCTATCGTATTTGAGATTATTAGACTAAAATAATTTATTAATATATGTTGAAAATTAATTATATATATATATTTGATAATTTTACTTGAAGTTATTCTTATTTAATAAAATTCCTAGTGTAATATTGCAGAAGCATTTTATATTTTAAAAAATTTAAATAACTTCATAATCCAAAACAACAAAATTCTTTTATGTACGAAGGTATTTATTTTATGGAATTAATAACACATACACAATTATAATAAACTAGTAGCTATCCCGTCATGAATGACGGGCGATGCAGACATTTATCCTTTGTTTGATGTTGGGGAAATCATAAATTTTACTTTTTGCCTAAATTTTTACCACTTTATTTGTAAAATATTGCTAGATGTGAGTTTTGTATTTTTAGATGCATAGTTTTTTGGCAATCTATATTCCCTACAATTATTTGTACTCATATACAAGGTACTAATCTATTAACTTTTTTAAAATAATGTTGGGGGTAATTTATAAATTTTATGAACCATTTTTATATTAAAACCTTAAAATCCAAATCATTTTTGTAAAAAATATTTTATAAGTAAATCTGTATAAAATTTAATATAAGTATAATAGTTTTTTTTTAAACTTATATCAAAATTCACTATAATATATATTATCATTTTAAATATAATAGTTTTTTTTAAACTTATATCAAAATTCACTATAATATGTATTATCATTTTGTGATAAATTTTTTAAAATCTATCATCTCATCTACATTATGTGATAGTATAAACTCTGAAGTATATTTAAAAACTTTGTGTTTGAAGAATTGGTTGTTGTCAGATATGTCTTATACATGATATAAATATTATATTTATTTTTCTACATTATATATAAATATACTATATGTATGCTTCTATTTTATCTTACTAATAAAATTTGTTTGTCTTTTATCGATAGTTAGACCTCGGCCGGCCACCGACCTTTTTTGGTTACGCCGAAAATGCCCCCGTTTAAGAAAATCGCGCCGCCGATTTTCATGTCGGCGGCGCACGGCCGGCACAGAAATTTCTTTTATATTTTATACATTTTTATTCTAATAATTGGTCAACATCACTCTTGTAATTTTTTAATGTCAATCAGGATTTTAATGAATTTTTATTTTCTACTATTTTAAAATCATAATTATATTGACTCATTTTAGAATTCAATCAATCAAAAATCTAAAATTCCAAAAGTTACCTTAATTTTAAATATTTTAAAAATGGATGTATCTACATTTAATAATACTATAAATAGTTTAAGTATCCTAACTCTGGATAATAAAAAATCTAATAGTCTGGAAATTTTTTGCAAAAGAATTAGAGAAATTATTACTGCTCTAAGATATAAAACTGCAGAAGTTGAATTTGAATTCGAGTATCAAAGAAATGTCTAAGTACAATAGATTTAACATCAGACATGTTAGATCTTGACAGCATTGATCCATACCCTGGTACCCGTTTTTAAATTGGCAATTCCAATGATAATAATAACAATAATTCCACGTATATGAAAACCTTAAAATTAAATGTCCCAAGCCAAACACGTTGGCAGTGTATATTAATTATGCTAGAAAGCATATCTGGATTAAATAAGGATTTAATTAATAATGTTTTTGCTAAGCTTCAGAATTTATAATAAAACATCTAAACTTATAGAGAATAATGATAATCAGGTAGTAAATATAGCTAATGAGGATGAAGATGAATTATTAAATTCAAGTTATTTGACAAAATTGGCTAATAAACACAACAAATATAAATTATGATTCCAAGTTAGGTGACTTAGAACAAGAATGCCACAGTTTTCTTGGAAAACGACATTCCAAGATATGTACGTTCTAAATTTTTGGAGAGAAAAGAAGAGTGAACTTCCCAATGAAAGAGTTTTTTCTACCGCTGGATTGACGTTAAATTCAAGGAGATCATCATTATGTCCAGAAAATTTAAATAAAATAATTTTTATACAAGATATTATAAAATTACGAAATCGATTTTGTATATAATAAGTTTTCTATTAAATGAATATTAAAAAATATGCCGAGATATCTGTAGAAGTGTATATTTATTTGTTTTTTTTAAAAAATTAATAAGCAATTAAAAAAATTTGTTATAAAAATTTATAACTACGCCGATTTACGCCGATTTTATTGACGGTGGCTAAAAATCGGCGCGCCGCCAGCCGTCGATTAGATTTTTGAAAATTGCGCCCGCCGCCGATAGTTTCGTCGGCGCACGGGTCTATCCATAGTTAAATTTTACAAAATAAATTTTATAATCGATCTTTTTTAATTTTTTGTTAAATAAAATTTTCGAATCGAATATTCGACAAATCAAATATATTTATCATTTTATTATTCGTACGAATACGAATAATGAATTATTCGATTTAAACGAATACGAATAATTCTATTATTCAATTCGTATTTTTGTAGGTATACTTAGATTAACATAATTTGCACATAATGTGTCTTAAAATTGATGAGCTGCTATTGTGTAGTGTTGTTAAATAGTCGAGTTTTTACGACTCTGAACTCAAGTTGGAGTCGCAAAACTCATTTCAAATTGAACGGCTCAATGAGCCGCATGAGTCGGCTTCAGAGTCGACTAGTGTTGTTAAATAGTCGAATTTTTACGACTTTGAACTCAAGTTGGAGTGGCAAAACTCATTTCAAATTGAGCGACTCAATGAGCCGCATGAGTCTCGATGAGTCGGCTTCAGGGTCGGCTCGATGAGTCGGCTTCAGAGTCCCTCTATATATTATACTCATTAAAGTTGTTTACCTAAAGCCGACTCA